TATCTGTAGGTAAAATATTTTTCTGGATATCTGTTTTTTGTGTAAGTGAAGGAGAAATGTGTGGCAATATAAGCTTTTCCACAGCTGATACAAAGAAATTATTAAAGTTGTTACTGACAGCTACTGGATGCTTAAGGAGTTTACCATTTTGCTCTATACATATCGGTATGTTGCTGGTAAAATCACTTTTTGAGTTAAGCTTTATTTCACTTTTAATTATGTTCCACGTTGCTTTAGTTTTATTAGAAGAGTGTTTTATTTTCTCATTATAAAATGTTTGTTTGGCTTGGTGTATTGATTCTTTTAGTTCCTTTTTCTTAACCTTTATCTTTTGATATGTGTCAAAATTTTGTCTTATCCTACCTAGCTTTTCCAGTTCATTTATCTCACTCTTTTTTTTTAATAACTCCTTTGAATTCCATTTACATTTACTATATCCACTATCTGCACTTAAAACTTTGGGAAAATTAACATCAAAAATGTAACTAAAAATAGAAAAAAATGCATCATACTTTTGATCTACAGATGACTGGTAAACATCATACCAAGTCTCATTGCCTAAATCACTGAGAAAGGTTTTTAAGTTATTCTCTGTAAATTTTCTGTGCCTTTTCTTTGTTTTCTTTTTATTCTTACTTTTTAAATCCACAATTTCAAGAAGTTGTGCATCGTGATCAGACACATGAGTAATGATTCCGGTTACAATTAATTGCACATGATCTATATTAGTGATAATATTGTCTATTGCTGATCTAGTTTTCAGTGTAACCCTAGTAGGAAAATTTACTTTATATGACATATTATACATTCTCAAAATGCTCAAAAATCTATAATACAATGAGTTATGATTTAAAATATCTATGTTTACATCTCCAGCTATAATGATGTTTTCATATTTCTTAGTCAATATATCTAGTGTAGTTTCTAGTTTGGATAAAAAAGGATCATTGTATTTATATTCTGGAGTCCTATATACACCCATCAGTACAAAAGACATGCTTTCAACTATTACTTCAACCAAACAGCACTCAAACTCCTTCTCTGATGTTATATTTTGTATTCCTTTTAGTGCAACCTCTTTAATATTAAGTGATGAATTTGTGAGGATTAATACCCCTCCTCCAGTGGTTGTAGTTCTAGTCCAGGAAGATGCTATTTTGTAGTTTTTAATATTGAAAAATGATAAATCTGTTTCACGCATATTTATTTCTGTCAATATAATAACATCTGGTTTAATTTCATCAAGGTTTACTTCTAATATTCCAATACGAGTTGATAAATTTTGGACATTTTGGTGAAGAATTAAAAAGTTTTGAGTGCTGCTTGAATTGTAACAATTTAAATTACTACCGGTACTACATTCTTGCAAGTTTTCTCCAAAAAAGGATGCATACTATTGTTTAATACACTAGGGTTATCTATGGAAGCAGGAATTTGGGTTTCGGAGGTTGGTAGGGCATTACATTCGGAAGAAAGCAACTGCGGGGCATCACCAATCACTGCACTATTTACCCCAGAGAGAATCGACCCCCCATCACTAGACACATGCACAGGCTGCTGCTCTTGACTGGGCTGGGTAGATCCCTCCTCTAGACAAGTCTGCGAAGATACGCCGCCACTCCCTGAATGATTCTGGCCTGTCATCAAATTGGATATATCAGCTTTTCTTTGAGGTGATTGGGTAGAAATTTGCTGTTGGTCTGGGATGGTTTTGTCCACTTCTGTTTGCAGATGATCAATAACAGTTGCACCTTTGGTGTTGAAGCTCTCCTGCTGTCTTGAATATGTTTTAGCAGTATCATCTGCCCACTTGGAGGAAATAATTGTTTGCAGCTTCATTAAAAATTGAGAGTGGGAAAGACCATTCCATAGTTTCTCTGTGCTTTTGGCTGATTGTAGGACACAATACTGATATTTGCATTTGTATATTTTTGGAATTGAAAAATATTATTTGCAAAGTGTTCAATGTCCACTCGGTCTCGCACACACCCCATTACAGAGCAGATGAGATGATTTAGGTTTTCCTTTTTAAAAGTTTTACTCAGCTGCTCAAATGCTTCATTATAATCTTCTACTGTAGGTTTCCCATTATAATCTTCCTTCGTTACCAGGCTGAAGATTGTTGCTCCATTTTGTACTGATTGCATGGTCAGTTTAGAGTCAATGTAATCAGACTTCTTAGGTCTACCAAATTTTCTTCTGAAAGCAACAGCTACACCTGCTGACATATTTCTGCTATGGTGGAGGTCTGCTGATATGGTGTGAGCAAATGCCACCTTAGGATCACTTATGAATTGATCAAACATGTCCCACATACTGCTTTCGACAATATTGATGAGGCCCTGTTTAATAGGTGTCGAGTTAGGGAAATTCTTAACTGTTGTTGGATCGAAAAGACTCTTGATCATAATTGAAATTTGTTTCTTTCCAAATCTATTGAAGTGGAGGCCATGCCTGGTATACAGGTTACGTGGCAAATCATTTAATGGCAAAAAAGATGCGTGGCTGAATTTTTGTACAGTTTTTTTTAAGTCCATATTGAGATAGCATATCCGGTTATTTAGAGCTGGGTTATGGTGCCTGTATGGTAATCCGGAGACAATAATGTTTGTATGAGAAGTATCCTGTAAAACATTTTCAACAACACTCTGTAAATTTTTTTCTGCCTGACCTATCTCTTCATTTGACCCACCAAGAACTACCAACGTATCAGATTTAGTGAACGACTTTGTTAGTCCTTTCACATCCTTGACCACATCAGAAATTGTGGCATTTGGTTTAAAAATGCAGCTAATGTTATAACCGCTATCTGGCCATGTACTATTTAGGTGGGAAACAATGTGCCTTCCATGGCTATCGGCGACAATCAGGAGTTTAGGTCTATTGTCTGGTGGATTTTGACGACTTCTACTCTGTAAAGGTAAATGAGTGGGAATATTTACAGTGGGTATTTTGTTAGCATTTACCGTATTAGATTGACTACTTTTCAATTTCTTAATTTCTTTCTCTAGAAATATAATCTGATTGTGTAAGGATTCTACTTTTAAATCAGGTTTTACTTCCTTCATAATTGTCAGTAAAGCATCCTTTTCAATAGACAATCTATTATTTAAGACATATGCAACATATGATCTTTTTCTGATAAGGTCACCTTCAGTTAGTTTTAGTTTACCAAGATAATCTACATCCAGACACGAGTCATCACTCATGATGTCTAGGATCAAACTTTCGATAGCGAAAATTGAGTATATGGCACAGTCATAGCCATTTAATTGGGTTGGAAAAGAAGCATGAGTGAAATTCAAGTCATGTAGGTCAAGGTAATCCATCAGTTTACTTGCAACGGTTTTTGCATGATTTAAGACAATGTGTGCTGATGAATCTACATAAATAATATTTTTCTTCATCTTATCGATTACAAGTACGCTCCAGTGAGAGCCACCAGCCTTATCTAGGGATGTGGCATCATTAATCGGGATGATGAGATAGTTGTAACGCTCAAGGTTATGTCCGTCCAGGAAATGTTTATAATCATCCATATTTTTTACTATGTGTGCAATCAGTGGATTTAATATGAGGCAAGATTTACTTGAAAGCCACAATTTTGAGTCCAAAACTTGAAAATATTTTTGCAGGGTGTCATCAGATAGCCAACTTTTAGATAATAGTTCACTACATGTTGATATCAAAGTTGTCGAGATGTCTGTCTGGGCTGAGGATGTCATTGTTTTGAGTGATGGTGATGATACTGTGATCTGTTGGTTACTTGAGACCGTGTTTTCCCCCGTAGTGCAAACACCCAAAGATTTATGTCCATCCTTTGTTTTAACCAAAGACGGTGTTTCACAATTATCTTGGAAGGGAGTTAGATTTTCCTTATCACTAATTAATGCTGGCATTGGGTCAATAGTAGAACCATTAAGACTTGTGGTACCCTTATTTGAAAAATAAAAATCTTCTATTTTATAAGGTAATTTTTTTTCCTCTATATAAGTTTTGAGCGATTTTTTTGAACGAAATGTGTTTCCATTTGGAGATTTAATGCATATATCAATCCTTCCAGCATTCAATCCTTTCTTCCTTGTATGCTCTTCCCTTATCCACCCCTTAGGCAATGGCATTTCAGAACATTTATTATTAATTTAAAATATCTGATTTTTACTCTGATTTAATTTCAGCTATCTTCAATAACAGTTACTTGTTAACTATCTAAACTTGTTTAATAAAATTAAATAAATAAGCCCAGTTAGTAGAAGCTATTTACAAGTATTTATAAACATCCAAACTAAAAGGTGGGTTTAACTTTTAAACATTGTTCCACATCATATTGTTGGAATAGCAACGACAACAGTGCAGTACAAGGGTCAGGTTTTCAAGTAAACAAATGTGCTGATAACTCTTGCCGATTCTGCTGAAATCCTGTAGCTACAACTAAACAGGTTTAGCTTTATGAACAGGTTAATAGTAGTCCTTTGAGTCTCGTAGTGTTATCTCTTGTCTGTTAACAAAATTTGTTCAGTTTGTGTAAAATATTCTTGATGCATACCTTGTGATTTTTCAATATAAATAGAACTTTTTAAAAAGTGATTGGTATTTTAAAACAATTTAATTATGACTCTATGCTATTTTTACTGTTTGTTTTAAATCATTGTGACCTGTTGCCTCAGGCCTAGTGCAGCAAACTGTGATGTTGTTTTTACGATTTTCTTAATGCTTGTTGTTTCTTTTTCCTAAACTATTACTTACAATCGTCCATATAAGTTTATATATCAGGTATGTAACACTTATAAACTGTTTAAGTAGTTATTACATTTAAAACACTTCACTTTTCTAGACTGGACAAATTAGCCCTTTTGGCATATTAACTAGTCAAATCATTAGGCTTTTAACTAATCGTCCCGGCTAAGAAATAGTTTGTCTTAGCCAATAACAAAACGGAATCCACTCACCCTAAATTCATATTCAGTTTGAAATAAGTACTTAATTGTGTGCGATTCCAGGTATTTGAAGAGCCAACGACTCAGTCCTCTAAAAATCGGCCAATCAGAGTGGCCGATTTTAAAGTGGTGTGCGACACAATGTTACAAGGACTCGGCCGCAGTCTGCGCTCTGTGGGTGTGGATGCTGAGATCCTCAGCAATACGCAGAACCACAATGTCTGCGTGGCCTTGAACAGAGAGCAGAACAGAGTCATTCTGACCAAAGGAGCTGTCTATGATAGAGTGAGTACATGTAGTCTGGTAGGCTTCCAAATTATTGTTTTCTGGTCCCACTCTTCACCACATGTATACAAATTTCACTTACGTGTTACTACATCACTGTGAATTTTTGAATGGAATTTGTGCACTGATAAAAACAATTTACAAGATTGTAAATTCACCAATGAATTATGACAAGTGATGATTTTCCAGTTCCTACAGATTATTATTATATATTTCTCTAATGGTACTAATTTGTAATAAAATTGGTTGAAATAAAAATATGGTGTTCAATTGGCTGAGCCCCATTCATATTAGAATAAAAACCAACCACGAATCAAGTCAATCCAAAAATATTTTTTCATGTCTTAAATGAGTCTTAACAAGATGAAGTTCTAGTTGTACGACTTGCATTTAAATGGGTTAATATAATGGGTTAGGGTTACCTATTTTATCTCTGTGGATGATTTTATAGTACCAGAACCTGAGCCTTGTGGTAAATAGGGTTTCAATAAACATAATAATTTTAATAAAAAAAATAATGTTTTTATTACATACCATAAACAATCACTGAAATAGTAATAACTTTGTAAAGTAAAAGTATGCAACAAAACAAAATAGAGACAAACATAAGTATATGATCTTACTCAAGTTAAAGTACTAGCCTCTACTCATACAGAATTTTCCTTCCCTTCAGTCATTGAAACCTTTGGTTCATTTTTCACGCTCACCGATGAATATAAAATAAACATTAGTTTCGAAATGGCTCTCCTTTTCATCATGTTATCAAAGTCTTCATTTTACGGTGGTATATTAGGTGAAAAACATTTTTTTTGTTTTTGCACTATTACTTCTAAAGAAATTTAGATTCTTCTATTTCATTGGGGTTTGGCATACGGTAATAGTTTTATGTCAATTAAAACCCCCCATTGATCATGAATCTAGTTGGATTTTTTTCATATAAGCTGAAATCTCATTCTGCTTCTGTAATTTTGCTGGTCTAACTTCATAAGTCCAGTGCTATGACTTGTAGTTACCAAATGAGTTTTTTCAGCAACATTCAAAGTGTTCCCTGTGATACCAGTCCACAAATACATTTGTAGCCCCAAAATTCTCCATTCTTAAAATTCCAACCAAATTCTTTCCCTATTAAAAAAAATAAATGTTGTTAGAAAATCCAGAAAAAATCAGACATTGCTTGTCAAATTATGAGATAGGATAAAAATAGTATGCATGGAGATTAAGCTCTCTTCGGGGGTGTTCTTTAGTGTGCTCTCAAAGTATTGTTTGCTCAAACCATAGGTCTAATTTGAACAAAACCACAAAAAGTTGAATCTGACAAATTCAAATGTTACTTCTCAGGAACAATCATGTTGGAAAACGTCATTCTTTGTGTAACTAAGTAGTGTGATTTGTTTGCTTGGTATCTATCTTCTATCTATATATTAATAGGCAAGCATGTTTCTTTAAAACCTTTTTTCTCAGCTCGTGTGCATCGTAGGGAAAATCTACGCATACTGTTAGAAAGCTATTTTCCTGTAGGTGTGCAGAATCCCTTTATAAATTAAAATAGGCTCAAAAATAAGCACAACAAATGAATTTAAAATTTTGAAAAATTTAACATGGATATTATGGGTTGCCATGCTGGTGACGAAATAACAACGAAATATAAACAGAAAATCAAAACAAATGGAAGAAACTCCAATCACATGTTCTATTCAAAGTGTGGAATGAAAATAAAGAAGTCTGTACATTAAACATTTTTGGTCGAGTTTCAACCACTGGACGACCTCTAGTTAAACTAAATAAAAACTTCAGTATACATATAGTCCCTAAAAATACTCCCTGAATTGTAAAGAAAAAAACTCAGACTTAGACTCTCATATATTTAAATGTTACATTTAAATATATTTGCTCCTTGCAATGCTCTCAAATGAATTCTTTACAAATGTTGGTTGCCCCTGGGTTGGAAGAACTCTAGAAAATAAAAATATCAGACAGAGCTTTTTGGCAGTGGAAGCTTGATGTTATGAAAAAATATGTGTGGGCCCTGCAAAATATGAATATTCCCCAAAGGTCCTTAGGGGACGCCCCTGGCACTGTTTGTAGTTCTTCCAAAAAAGTAATACCTTTAATGAGATCAATTTACCAGTCTTAATTCTACACTGAATTTACCTGCTCACTACTACACTATTTACTAGTGTTGCACTTAAAAGGTGAATCTTTTGTAGTGGCTTCTGATTTACTGAATTACCTTTTGTTTATCAAATACTATTGCATATACTAGAACACCAAGGTTATTGAGAACTAAAAGTGAGTAACAATTGGAGTTTATTGCACAGAATTTAATAATACACTTATTTCAGTTTACAGTCGTTGTTGTATTCTTTCAAGTAAAAATGACCTTGAGATACACAATCAGTTGGAAATTTATTGAAACTGTTGAATGGATTTATCAAAGGGGAGGTATGGTGCGGTTTCACACCGATCTCAAAAGTATCAATGGAAGAGTGGTATTTAATCTAATGGTTGAGATGACCTGTACCAAGCAAATCCTTTCGTTGGCCAACGATTAAAAACGAAGGTCGTCTCGCAGTCCAACTGATTGAACAATATTGTATTCAATCGTAGTAATGTTTATCAGAATATTGCTTTATTATTTTATAGCTAATTTGGCACTTTGGTGGTTCATCTATGTTCAAACTGGCACAACTTCCAACAACACTTCCGTATCAATCGAACCAGCTACCTGCTCCCTTCTCTGATAATAATTTATTTCCCCCAAAAGATACTGACTGTGACACTCTTTAAAAGAATTGTACTATTTGCTCAACAATGAAAATTGACAACGACTCTGTGTAAAAATTCCAACACTATGAAAATCTTATTAAATAACTCTGAATTGCCCTATAAAAACATTTTCATCTAATTATTCTTAATACTATAGGATTATTACAGTCTAATTAATAAAGCGGATTGCTACAATATGAATGGATATTAAAATCAGTGATTTGAATTTGAACCAGTGAACATGTGCTTATTCTACATGAAATGACAAAACAAGACAGGAAAAATTTACAAAAGTGCGACTCACTGAAAACTAAATTTAACGAATAAATAACACAAATTACTTACAGTTTGGACGTCCACAAATATGACACAAATAAAGGGGAAGGGATTGGGAAATGTAACTAGCCGGTATTCTACAAGACGCGATCAATTGAACTCGTGAAACGAACGTGTAATTTTCAAATGGCGGAACTGCGTTGGCCGGTAACGAACTTTTTCACTTTCTGACAATGACACTGATACTAATTTCCAATCGCGGGGCAATTATATCCCTTAGGGATATAGGCTGTACGATTTTAAGGAAAAATAAGATTGCCCGACCAAACGCCGCGAAATGAATTTAATTTCCACGAACGAAAAACAATTTTACCGAACTAGCTACGATGAGATTTGGATAGGAACTGGCACTGCTGGAAGCAAGTGACCATCCGGCTAGACCTTATCCCCTCTCCTACTTTAGTGCGTGGTGCATTCTGGTCTATACTGATCTATTGTTTAAACCAGCTGACTGTTCTTCGCGTTACCCTGTATTGATTTGTTGCCTTTTTACAACAAAATCGGTACAAAATGCCCCCTAGCAGAAAAAAAATGATCCGTGATCGGCCTAGGACAGTCCAACCTATCGTACTACCCCGGAGCATTTTTGGTCTAGCCGGTGGACCACGACGACACACATGAACACAATTACAATTTACAATCAACAATAACGACAACAATTCAAATTATGGTAACAAGAATACTAAACTACAACAATGATCTATTTTGTAACAAGACACCAACTGATCATTTCCCTCATTGAACACACAAAGGCATCCCGCGCACAGAATAACATTTTGGTGTATCACCAAGGTGACCACCCGCAGAGTGTGTTGTCAGAAGTGGTGAACAGCTGGGCTCGTAGCTTGTTATGGTGTGGCACAGTTGCAGTGGCTCTAGTAGGTCAGTAGCACAGCGACCCAACAATGGTCCGATAGTAGTGTTGTCAGCTGGGGAGGGTGGGGCGGGCGCTCAACAATGCTATCAGTGGCACCAGCGATAACAATGTTATGATGGTCAGTCCAAACATCGCACGGCCTCCTCGATTGCATCACCAACACAACACTTGTTGATTTACTCCACTGTTTGTCCACTTACAACTTATTTCTAATTACAATTTTTTAGGGATGGTCAAGTCTCAAAATTTCGGGAAATTTTCGGGAAATTTTCAATCTCGTTACATGAGACGAGATTTCTTTTTGGCCGAGATTTTTATCGAGACGAGAATAAAAAATAAAAAAAAAATTAAAAACGCCTGCAGAAAGTTAATGCAATACCCGCAATACAGGAGCGTGTTGTAGTTGCGTTTCCTTTGCGAAGGCGTTCTTATTTAATTAATTATTTTAATGTAAATATTACTTTAATTATTTTAATAATATTACTTTAATAACATTTGAGAAGTTTTGTTAAGTGTAAGCAGTGTGAGGAATGTTTTATTACTATAAAACAAGTCAAAACAAGTAACTATTTTATAAAAATTAATATTGCTTTTATTTTATGATTTATTTTATTTTAGGATGAGTTGAACTCTATCCTAACTGATATCACCATGTTTCCTAAACGAAGGCATTTTTAATAAGTTAGGCGTGATTAATAAAAAAATGTTATGCTGATGTTATTTAATAAAAGATTGTAAATATTCTTGCCTATTATCATTATTTTTGTATTTAAACAGTCATCTAACAATGTTACAAAATCAGGTAAAAATTTCGAACGTGCATTTCCCATTGTGTATGAGAAGAGAAATCTCGTCTTGATCTCGTCTCGAAATTTTATGAGAAATAAAAAATCTCGTCTCGTCTCGTCTCGAACTAAAAATCGAATCTCGTCCATCCCTACAATTTTTGTTACGTTACCACATTTAAACATTTAAACACATGCAAAACAATACGATACAATACAATACACCTACCGCTGAT